TGAAAACTTTCTATCACCACATTCGAAAAATTAGGCCAGATCCACTTTCTCTCGCGTCAGAGTTCGTTTCGCCCTTTCCTCTACCAGGATCCATTTCGCCACTCCATAGTCTGGTTGAATCAGATCTGAGGACAGATCAACTATCTCTTCTGGTGCGGATACAGAAACCAAAAGCTCTTGCGGAAAAACTGCAGAGTTTTGCCGTGGTTTGAAGCAGCTCTTGCAGCACAATTGCCAGTCATATTGACTTGTTACCTCCAATAGACTAAGGCAAACTAAGAGAGAGTCTTTCGCAAGTAAGCATCTGAAACTAAAATTAGTTCAAAGTCGTTATAATTAATTTTAGATAATCTTTTTTGGGTATTTTGCCAGATCAAGGCTGCCTCAAGTCTAATACAGTGCGTACCTACGATTGATCTAGTCAACTGGATCCAGTCAGAATGGTTTATTGGCCATTAAGGAGCCTTGTTAGTGCCATCGGCTAAATCCATCCTAGGGTTTGAAAGCCAAATAACAGTGCCTGCGGATAGTTGCCAGTTTGACAGCCGAATGTATGGGGACAATTTCATTGACGAATTTTTGAAGGAATACCCAGAGGAACTCAGAGCTAGATGGTACATCTTAAAGGAAAAGGTAATCAGTTTGTAGAGCAATTAGACTCCTAGTAAGACTCCAGTTTTCAAATAAGTTTAACCTTATGTTTTTGTTCAATCCTGGAAAAATATACAATCAATTAAGCCAGCTGACGTTCAAACTTTGTTCCGATCAATGCCCCCAATGTTCTGGAATATCATTGAAGCTGATGCTTCCTTGTCGGTCGCCACAAAAATCTCTGTTCCAAAAGCAGTTAGGGAGGTGTCGTTGGGACACATACATAAAAGGAGGTTGGAGAAGACAGAAGTACCGACGAAGGAGTCAATCTAACTGCTGTTATCGCAGGCTGGTGCAACAACACCATTTCAACAGGCTTTTCCGGTACATCTGTGATGTACAGTTTAGTGAAAGGATAAACAAAGTTTGGTGCACATTTTTTTCAACGAAATTTAGAAATATGTTCCATTTAGTTCTTTTTTTCTTCAAGGCTGCAAAACATTTTAATTGATGCAGCAATCTATCTGTTGGAAACCAATGTTTCCCAGGGATGACCCTCGCTGTGATGCTGGAGGGTGTCTTCAGGTTGTTCTGACGGAGTGCCAGGCCCCCGTTATGCCAGCTGGCATAATACACATGGTTGAAACGCATTCAGAGCCCTTTGGCTCTGGGTGTCAATTTCATCCATCGTGGACACCTGTTGACGGCAGCCAAAGCTTTTCGACATGAGCGGAAAAACGAAAAGCCCCTCAGCAGCTGCTACCCTGCTTTTTCGATGTTCGCTCTGAATGAGCTGATGGTTCATGTGTAGTTAGTATCAAAAATTAAAATGATACATTTTTGTCGAAATAAATGAAAATAGAGAAAGGTAATTTTATACCATTAAAGACAAGATACCGCCGCAGGAATTAGAAGATCTGGAGGAGATCTGGAGAATTCTGAAGGCGCACGACAAAGCCTTAGATAATCACCTTGCCAGAAAAAATTTACGTAAATAGTTCTGGCCGAGTTTCATCTCAGGTACTGAATTACTTACTTCCGTATCCCAAAAACTGCACCCAGTTTAATCGCATATACTGAAAGACTCAATTGATCCCAAGAAATGGGTTTTGTCATCCCGTATACTGGAATGCTTAATTCATCCCAAAAAATCGGTTTAACTTCTCATGCTAACTTTTGATATTTTTGTATTTTAAGCCAACAACTAAGGAAAAGTTGGCGAATAAGGAAGAGATGGACATTCTCTTGCAACACCATCGTGGGTCGTGTTGATTTTTGCCAGTGGGATCATTGCCTGCCCAATTATCAGTGAAAAGGGCCTGAAAACTTTCGTTTCTATCATCACATTCAAAAAATATATAATCTGTACAGTTTTTTCAACGAATGTGTTTAAAATGCCTAGATTCTTCAATTGACATTTTGAGAACAATTTTTTTCTAAATTGAAATATGATTCTAAATTTTAGCATGCAGTCTGAGTAATTAACTGAACTACTGAATATCAGAAAATCAGAAAATTTGATAGATATGAATGAACCACAAACGACAGCAGACGATGAAATGTGCCCTATCTGCTGTGATAATGGACGGCATTTTTTCCAGATCCATGACAAGGATGTGGTACACAGATGTGCTTTATCTGCTGGCGGAAGGTGTAGAAATTACCTCATCCAATGTGCCCCTTCTGTCGGCAGAACTTGCCGTCTTTCCATAGTTTCATGCACTGGTAACTATTGCTTTTGACCTTGTTTTTTGTTAAACTAACGAAGCCTGGTGCCATGTGAACAACCTCTTCGTTCCACCTTTGACCCCTAGCAGTTCCTGCGTTAGTTTGTTGGTTGGATAAAAAACTTAAAATGTGCATCATGAAACAACTCTAGCGGAGAAAAACTATCAAAAATTAGAACGTTATAAATTTGGATTATGAATAAAAAGGTTTTGAAATTCAACACAGTTACTCATTTTCACATATACCAAAATCTACAAGAATAAAAAATCTCAGCAATTCAGATGCAAAGTCAAAAATAAATTAGACAAATAAAAGAGATTTTAATTGATTCTAACAGATTTTTTGTAAACTTTTTAATTAGAACGTGGGATATAATCGATTGAACACAACTTATCAAAATAATAAATGGATTAATATATGTTATATGTACCGACTTTCTTTACCGAAATTATTTACAAATTCAAAGGTGTTATAATCGATTAGAATTATATTTCAAAAAGAGAGATCTTAATCAATGATTAATAGATTGAAGTTATTTTTTCTCAATTTCAGTTTGACTGGTTTTAATTTCATAATATCTTTGTGCATAATATTAAATTCATAATTGAATATTCACGCGCGAAACTGGATGCGACAAGGAGCAAAACATCTATGCGGGCCGGTCGATGCGCACTACTTCATTAACAATGACACGTAGAATGCTAATGATTTTTTGCCAAAAATTTATAATGCTAAAAATCCAAGTGAGAGCCATGAAATGATAAATTGTTATCTGTTCCCGATGAGAGGAGTAAAAACGCAGCAGAAGAAAATCTTGATAGCAAACTTTGAATTAGTATAAGAAACAAGCCAAAGCAAAAAAAGTAATTAATGCAGACGTCATACAACATTTCATAAGCAAGAGTTTTTGGTTTAGCCTCGACCACTTCTGTAAAAAGAATAGGCTTTTGGTTAGGCAAATTATTTGCTTCGTGACATTTTTGCCGTTTCTTATCCTTGGCGCTTCACATAACTGTCATCATTGAGCCGAAAATTTCTTCTGTTTCCTATAATAGCCACAAATAATTTCCGAACTAACAATACATCGTTGTGGACAAAAAAAAACTTCGAACAGTTTTTTTATTTTGAAAAACGTGTGTTTGAGTACACAGTTAAAATTGCAACCAAAACCGATTGTTGAAATTTTTTGAACAATTTTAATTGCTTTTTTGTTGGCTTTGGTTACTACAGCGCGTATTGTGTCAATAACTTAAACGTTTTCAGCCATTCTAACTAGAATTGACTTTGTTTTCAAGTTATTACGGTTCTGCAATTCAGTCGTGTTTACGGTTCTGCAATTCAATAACTTTTTACGGTTCTGCATTCAATAAGTTTTTCCGGTTCTGCAATCCTCTCATACAGTTACCATTGTATCCATTCATGCAATAGCTTCAAAATACTGCAAATTTGTTTTGAGATATATTCGAAGAAAATTACTGCGGTTCTTTGCTTGAACCAAATAAATAATAAAAAAATTTTCATTGTTGTTTTTTATTTTTTATTGTTTTTCTTCATATAAAATTGGAAAATTGAACAAATTAACTTAATTGGCGAATATCAATACTTTGTGTAATGTGTGACTTTGCTGCTGTTTAACCTATCAGATTTCTCATCTGAGAAAAGCTTTGTTTTTGTATTCCAGGGCAAAACAAAAATATATAACACACAAATAAAATTTTTTTAATCTATCCGAAAATTTTTAGTGAAACAATTCTGTTTATGTAAAAATGGTAGTCGTAATTTCTTTGTTGCAAAAAACGGTGGTCATACAGCTCGACTAATGGGAAAAAAGGTAGTAATGCTATTTTCATACAATTTTTTTCATCTTTAGGACAGTATGGAGGTGTTAAAAAATCATTTTTTCCTTAATTGACAATAGTATGATTTTGAAGTTTTTCTGGCCATTCACAATTATCCATTATTACGAAATAATAACAATTACGCATTCGAACTAAGAAGTGACGTTTTATCCCACGAGAATTTGAGTTGATGAAAATAGCTGAATTAGGAAAACTTTTAGGAGAATTTTTCTGTGTCGTATAAGCAGTTTTGTTTTTGTTCCGTAACTAATGCTACAATAAAAAACGTCAAGAGTTTGGTTAAAATACGTGATCGTTCGACCGAAGTTGATTTCTTACAGTTATCAGAAGTAAATTAGAAAAAAAAAACTTGTCATCAAAAAGAAAAAATAGTAAGCTTTGCTCCAAATTCCGGGTATTCTTTATCATTTTTTTTGCATGTTTTTGGAAATATTTATCTAGTTAACAAAGTTGAAATACAGCCAACTCTGGTCTAGATGGTCAAAACATACCGTGACCAAATCGCTCGTGTAGATTTTCAAACGCGAAAGCAAAACAAAACGTTGTTAGTTGTTTCTGTAGAATGTGTTCATGCTATTTGTTATCTACGTCTCCACAAGATATACCTTTTCTTATTTTGACTATGCAGTTATGAAAAAAAAACTATCAAATAGCCGCTTAATCCAGTAAAACACATAACATGACTTGTTTGTTATTCTCGATTTAGTGGTCCTGTAAAAATTGCTGCTGAAACGTGTTTTGGAAAAAAACGGACAAAGATTTTTTCATGATAAAAAAACAAATGTCGTCATTTTGCTTTTACCATATCTGAATACAAGTCTGTCGACAGTGCAATCACTAAACGTTTGGTTTGACTTTAAGCTTCATTAAAATATAAAATAACAATGTGAAGCAGTTTTATTTGTGTTTGTTATCATATACCAGAAACAACTTACTCTCAACTTGTTTGTGTTTTTTACTCTGTGGCCACTTGTTTTTCAGTTAATTAAATTGCTGTGCGCACTTCTGATAAAAACAGAGAAAACTAGATACAGTGTATTATACGATCTAGTTTATCACACGATTAAAAAAAAGAGGTAGTCATTGATCATCATGAACGATCAACAGGTACATTTATACTTCTAAAACAATGCCTATTCTTTGCTTTCTGTATCAGAAAGAAAAGTAGAACATGCAATTTTTTTAAAAGTTTTCATTAGAAAAAGCGGTTTTTGTAAAAAAAAACTTGAACCAATAACCAGCATGAGTAGCTATGGACTGCTGCTATATTATTTTGACCGATCATAACGTAGGGTCTTAGGTGTAGTTAGGGGATCAAATCACAGACAAGGAAAGCTCTTTCCCTTTACAAGCCTCCTCTTTATGTTTCACTCCTCCAAGCAAAATCATTCTAATGACCCGATCAAGTTAACATAACATCCCCCCCCAAATAGAAAATCGACCATGTTAACATCCTTCACCCCAGCGCTTAATATAAATTAAACTTGCTAAGCCCTGCAAGTAAAATGCTCGATACTTTTATGTTTATGAATTTGATTATCCCCTGCATTTAAAAAAAACTGATTCTGATGCTTTTTTTTACCTCAAAGCCCATGTGTATTGTCTTTAGTTCCAATTTTAAAACCAGTGGAAAACCAGTGTATTGTTTTTATTTCCAGTTTTAATTTGTAGAAAACAGAAGAAGTGAGTAGCTCGGACGGTAATTTGATCAATCGAGTGACAACATTTTTGAAAGTCAAAAGTAAAGGCGATGACCTGGAGTCGCCGAAGGAAGTACAAGAAACTACAATCCCAACATATGTTCGCGATGAAAACAGTGGCGAACTTATCCAAACCGATTTGCCTCCACATATATCAACTGCTGACGAATCTACCGAGCCTTCCGAGACAACTGAAAGCATGGAAAATGTTGGTGTCAGAAACGAGAAAAAAGTTGGTGTCAAAAGCGAGGTAGGTGAGTTTTGAAGTTGTGATAATTATCAAACGGTTGAAAATGCCATTACGATCAATAGCTAAAAAATTGTTCCTTCGATATTTATTTTTGCCTCTAGTATATAGTTGTAGCGATTTCGCGGGGGGATCTAGGGGGCGGATTTTCAAAAAAACTTCGAAAATTTTGTTGTCCTTTATTTTTAGGTCGACCAAATTGATTTTCCGAAATCTTCCCAAGTACTATAAACCCTGGTTTGGCCAAATTTTGGTAAAACCTGGTTTGATCAAATCCCTCCAGGAAAAGGCAAGCCCAATCCTCCCCCCCCCCCCCCCCCTTTAATCCGCCCCTAGGCGATTTAACGGGAAAGAGACAAAAATAAAAAAAAATGACGGTTTTTGCGGTTGAAAGAACCGGTTAAAAGAACATGTTGCTTTTTTCAGCTGATTGCACTCTTCGAGGGTAAAGAAATAATTTATCGCCTCGATCGAGAGTGTCCCGGTTTGTTTGTTATGATAAACAACGTTACATTCGACGACACGAACTATCTATCAAAAAGAGACGGAGCCGAAAAAGACAAAGAATGTTTAAAAAACCTTTTTGAATGTATGAATTACGAGTTTTACGTTCCAAAGGTTCCAAAGACGAGCGGCGGACAAAAAGCAACGGATGATAAGTTTCAGTTGCCAGCAACAACTGATGACTTGACTTTCAAGGAAATGGATGATGTTCTGGACGATGTTGCTAAAAAGGAAAACTACCAGAGCTTAGTAGTGGTTATATCTTCGCATGGAAACGATGGAGTGGTCTTTGGCAAAGACCACAAGAAAGATTCTGCGTTGGAATTGAAAGTCAGCAAGATTGTCAAGAAATTTATGAACGAAAGTTGGGCGGGAAAACCAAAAGTTTTAATTTTTCAAGCCTGTCAAGGAGATGTTGTGGACCTCGGATACCAAATAAAAGAAAAAACGAATCAAGGTTGGTCGAATAAAATTTTTCAAATATAAAAAAAAAATTGTTTACCCTAATCATACAATTTCATATATGGCGTCTATGGAAAAAAGCTTGTCAGACAATTTTCAATACAGAATTTTAAAAACTGTTTTGAAGATTTTCAACACACATTTTTAGTCAAATTGAATCTTGTAAAGCTTTCTGTTCATTTAAAAAGTGATGAACAATTTTGAATGAAAAAAAATTTTATCAAAAAAATTTCATCCATGAAAACTGTGATAGGCATTTTGTAAAAGGAATTTTTTTCTTCAAATTTTTTTTTAAAAATGTGTTCGTGTAAATTTAAATGAGCTTAGAGACCATTTCAGTAACAGAGAGCAATTTGACTCTCGAAAACTGAATATAGCTTCAGTCGAGAAAAAGCTTATCTTATAAATTCTACATATGAAAACTGTATGACAAGCATTTTTCTACAAAAAAAAATAAAATCACAGCACATTAATTTAAAAAGTTCATCATATAATTTCAAACTAACCTAATGAAGATTTCCAATGACAGAGAGCAGTTTGACAGTCAAAAATATGGCTTTAGTTTTAATCGAAAAATTGCTCTTCTTAAAATTTCCATAAATGAAAATTGTAGGACAAGCTTATTTTCGACAAAAAAATAAAATAACAGCATATCAATTTAAAAAGTTCATCATATAATTTCAAACTAACCTAATGAAGATTTCCAATGACAGAGAGCAGTTTGACAGTCAAAAATATGGCTTTAAATTTAATCGAAAAATTGCTCTTCTTAAAATTTCCATAAATGAAAATTGTAGGACAAGCTTATTTTCGACAAAAAAATAAAATAACAGCATATCAATTTAAAAAGTTCAACATATAATTTCAAACTAACCTAATGAAAATTTTCCGTGACAGAGAGCAATTTGACAGTCAAAATATGGTTTTAGTTTTAATCGAAAAATTGCTCTTCACATAATTTCCATATATGAAAATTGTAGGAAAAGCTTATTTTCGACAAAAAAAATAAAATAACAGCACATCAATGAGAAAAATTTTCATACGCTTTCAAATGAGCCTAATCAAGTTTTCAAAGATAGAGCAGTTTGACTCTCAAAAAAAGGATTTGAGTCTTAGTCGAACAAAAAGCTTAGCAAATAATTTCGATAGATGAAAAGTGTTTGATAAGAATTTTTCAACAAAAAAAAGAACCACATATCAATTAAAAATGCGTTGAGGCATTTTTAAAAGAGTTTAAAAAATTTCTGAAGCATAGAAGACGTTTTGAATGTTAAAATATGAATTTGGTTTTTTTAAAGAAAATGCTTATAAAAAAAATTTCATGCATGAAATTGTACGATAAGCAATTTTGTATAGAACAATAGAAAACTCAAGAAACAATTGTAACTTTTTTGCACGATTTCAAATGAGTTTATTAGCGATTTTCACTGGTTGACATCACATTATTGTGAAAAAAATGTTTTTAGTTTTGGTCGGAAAAAAGCTTATCATATAATGTTCATGGTTTCATGAATTTGATTTTTTTTGTATATAACGTAGTTCAGGGTGCGTTTTTCAACCAAACAATCCAAAAATCATAAACAATGGTTGTTTTTGTAAACACAACTTATTTCCATTACATTTAAAAAGAAACAGGCCTTTTTCAACCACAAAAGTTATGTTTTTGGTATAGGCTTCTATATAAAAAAATTAAAATTAATTTACCTGGCTAAAATCACCAATTGCAGTTTATCTGCGTGGTACTTGCCAGTTTTTTATGAAAAAAAATTTTAGAACCGTTTCGGATGGTACAAAAAAATTCAAAGCTAACTTTTTTGTGTTTTCAGTTTTGAAAAAACGTTTGTCATAGATTTTCGTCGTACAAAAAATTGCTTTTGCTGGTTTCATAAAATCTTTTTGATTAAAAATAGGGCAAAAAAGCTTGTTAATTAATTCCAAAAAATCATTAGCTACTAGCCATGCCGAAAGTCAAAGCTTGGTCTTCATGTGATCATGAAAATTCTCGAAAATCAGAAACAAAGTTTTACAGTACTTTTTTTACAGTTTGACAGTCATTCAGCTTTTTTTACTTTTGAGTTGTACAAAACTTTGAGTTAACAAGGAGAAAATTTTGAAGTTGACAAAACTTTTAGAACAGTTAAAACCAAGGAAGCAAAAAGTTTTACGGCGTAAGCGATTTCAATTGTGCTTGCATTGTTTTTTTAATGGTATATATTCAAGGTCCAGAGTCTATTTTAGATTTACATTATCAAAAACAAAAGCAGTGGACACTCTAATATTACACATAATAAGACTACTCAAACCTTCGAAAATGTTGAAACTTTTTTAAGAAGTATTTGAGTTAAGTTTCAGTCGCCAAAAAACTGCTTGGAAGCAGTTTGAAAAATCTGTTTGTTATGGCTTCGATAGCTTTTCAATTGGAATTATAGTATGAAAAAATGTTTATCAGGCTATTTTCCTACTATTTCGTTTATGTATGATATAGAATGATGAGCATTTTGTTCATATATGTTAATATTTTTTGTCAACCCGGGTAAACCTTCGTAAAGCCAGATTGTGAAATATTTTATGCAGTTGGGTTTTTGCAATCTCATAAAACGAACAGGAAAAAAACCAAATCAGATAAAAAAACTGAAACAGGTACGAAAAACTCCCGCGCTGGAGTTTTATGAGCAATAATTTATTATATTGGATCTTTATATTCGGTTTCTCTAAAACTCGAGAAAAAAACTCGTGGGTGAGTCCGCGCCTCTGAATTTTTGATGTCTAAATTTTGTAGATTTATATGCCATGCTGATTTGTAGGCAATTGAGTCGCATAACCTGCTGTATCCACAATTCTTGTTAATATTTTGGTTCGGTATGAAAGCAAAAAAAAACTATTTTCAGTTTTCTGCGTTGTTTCCATATATAACGACCTAGACGGCGCGTGGTGTGCGAGCTAGATTTTTTCCTCCATTTTTCCTAGGTTTTTGTTATAATTTCATTGGAGTTTTGCTTTTTGTGATTTTTTCACTGCCTTGTTTGCCACAATGTTTGTTTTTTTTTCTTACGTTTTTGTGTGGTAATTTTCCTCTATATTTTTTCTGGGCTTTTAAAAATTTAATTTTCGAATCTTTCTGCTTACAATGGTATTCTCCGAACGATTACCGCTCAATGCCCTGTATCCGATGGTTATCTCGACCTTTGATCAGCACTGATGATCATGAAATTGTTCTGAAATCTGCAGTGATCTCACTAGGTTTTTCTAATTTTAAATTAATGATATTTTACATTGTTTCAACTAATGCGAGCTTTATTACTGTTTGTCAACTGTTCTGTTAAAGTTGAATTTTCAAATATAGCCAAATGTATTTCAAAGGGCGATAGTTTTGTTCCGGCGTGTTGTTTTAATCCGAGTTGTGTTATGATTAGTTCGGTCACATCCAATGCCAACTTGTAGTTTTTATTCCGTGATCTGTTTTCTTTACCTTTAGTCTACTATTTAATATTTTGATGAGACATTCTACCAATTCTTTTGCTCTGTGATTGTCTACTGCTGTGAATTTTTTTTTGTGGTTGGCGTCGCAGTATATACATAATTTAGAAGCGCAAAATGTTAATTCTGGCTGCTTAGATTTTCTTGGTACCCCATTGTTCATAGTGAATCTTTGCTCAAATTTTGTTGCCAAGTCCACGATTGTGGTAGTATTGGCATTAGCCTTCGTTAGTTAGAGACTCTTTTATTTGCCTCCAACTTGTATGAATCTTTGTTAAGTTCACCTGTCATAGGTTCCGTAAAATCTAATTGTAACGCCCGGAATCATTTTATCATTTTAGCTTGTCGAAATTTTTTTCTGGATCGATAATTTTCCTGTCGCTTGCTTTACTTTGCTTTCAGTTTTTTTGCTGTTTTGGCAGTTTGTCACTACCGACCTGTGTAAGTGCGTCCAATATGGCTTCTGTCCCCGGGCGTGCCAGTTGTACGCTGTCCCATTACCGTGTCTCTTGATTGGCTTGGGATAACCTTCCATTCATATATGACCAGGCGTTTGTCTTTCAAGTTCACGTGGTGTCCTATGTGTGAGAAATGATGCTGCGGTTATGAAGCGATAACCCAGGACTTTTTGTAGTTTTTGACTGTATATTGGGGTGTCTTCTACTGTCGTGGTTCCCTGAGACATCGTGGTTCCCCGTTTGACATTGTGGACACCTCGTTTGGGTTGTCGATCGCTATCAACAACTGTGGTGCTTCCTCCAGACTTCTAACTACAGCGTGACAGGTATAATTCGGTTTCGATAGGCTTAAAGCTCGTTTCTTTTGCTTGCTCATCCCGGGTTGACCTCCATAGACCGAAAATGATGTTTCCAATGCATTTTTAATGCGAGAACGGCCAAACCTTTGGTTACTACGTTTGAGTAATCAAGTTTTATGTCATTTGTGTTCGGTTACGAACACAACCAAAAAATTTTTGAGAAATTAAAATGTAAAAAATAAAATTTTTGGTTTATGGAAAAATGCTAAGTCATACAATTTCCATATATGAAAAATACTTATCATAGACCTTTCATGCAATTTTCTGTACGTATGGAATTGTATGGAAAGTGTATGACTACCATTTTTCATATATGGAAATTGTATGACTAGTATTTTTGGTCATCCTGGATTGTTGTTTATTGTATCGAATCAATTGACTTGACTGGATCGAATTTAGTTATCTTGTTTCATTGTTTGCAAATTCCTAGTTTTATGTGATTGTCAAAATTGACACTACTTTCATGTAGCTAATCTCGCTGTGTCCTGGTTCTCCTTTCATATGTTTTGCCATGGTGGTCCCTTCTGTATCCAACTTTAATGTTTGCTCCCAGGTATTTTATCAGCCTCGATTAGTGATCATAGTTTTATGTTCTTCCTAGCTGTTTTTGATTTGAGGATAATTTTTTCCGTTTCGTGGTAATTCTAGTAATGCGTTGGTTCTTGTGTTTTTCACTTTTTTTGAAGAGCTTCTTGTTTTTCTTTTTCCTTCTTCTCTCTTTAGCTGGCTGGCCTTGCTGTTCTGCCTTCCCTTATTTTTTTGCAGACTGGCATCCTCCTGTTTTGGAGCATTTTATTGATCCATTTTATTATCAAATCATTATTATCTTTCCTTTCAATGAGTGGTAAACAAAAATATTTTTCAATTTTTTGTCTCTCTGCCTTGTTCGGCTTTCTGAGTTGTGTATGTGAAAATCTCTTTTGAGAGATGATTAATTCTGGAGGTCGTCTTTTTGAGGTCGTCTTTTAGTTTTGGTTGTCAATCAAATTCTACAGAACTCTATTCTTGATTGCTGAATTTTTTTGGACAAGATTCTCCACAATTTCCAGCATTGATAAAAAACCCAATAAAATTAAC